TGCAGCCAGGCAGGCTCATTAAGGAGTAGTCGTGGATACTGTAGGATAAGCACTGGTTCACAAGGTCAGTTTGAACCACAAAGTCAATGGTTCAAATTCACCAGTCGCTCTTTCAGAACCCCATACAGGGTCTCTATGAGTTGTAACCAACTTGATGGCACTTAACAATAACAACGACTAACCACAAGGTTGGCAGTTCAAACCCACCAGCTGCTTCATGGAAACTCTACATACAGGGTTACTTATGAGCCAGAACCAACTTGAGGACACTTAACCACAAGCTCATTAAAGTTCCACAGATGTGAAAAATGCAGCTGGGAGAAAGCTGGTATGAGCGCTGAGGCATTTTTCTGCTTTCTTACACTGGCATGTTACAGTCATTTTTTAGTTTTGTTTTCTCTGGGAAAACTTTATTTAAAAAAAAAAGAGATTCAAGATTAGGAGGAAAGATGAATATTGTAAGACTGTACGGACACCCACACACAGAAGAGCTAAAATCTGAGTTTCTTAACTCCACTTTTCATTCTCGATAATTTGTTCCCAAAGAATTCCCTAACTGCAGACATTAAAACAGTGAAGTGACCCTACTGCTAGACTAGCTGCAGACATTCCCGTTCATGGGTTCCTCTTGCTACTAGGGAGAATCCACGGGTGTTGGAAGCACTGTAGTGTACCGAGATTGGAAGAAATGCTATTGGCTGAAGAGAAAGCAGGTCATAAGAAACCAGCGAATCCTAAAAAAACAACAGCGAAGAAGCTGTCTTTAATACAGAGATAGTGGGGAGATTTAGAAGAAAGGGAACGTCTAATCCGCCTGCCTTGCTCCACTGTTTTGTGGCAACTGAGAAAATGAGGAAGATTAAAATTAGCTGTCATGATGACTACACCATGTTTAATAACGTTAAAATGGAGAGAACATCTTTATAAAACAGAATTCTAAGCCTAACACATTAATGGTGCTTAATGAACCAAAACTGGGTAAATCCCTTTGGAGAGCCAACACATAAACAAAGCTATTAATTAGGTCACAGTTGTTTCCCAACAAGGCTTTTGTTTGATTTACTTACAGTAAACAAAACCATATCCATCCGTCTTTGTGGAGAAGTATTCACCAGTGCAACAAAACGTAATTATTACACCGTAAGCACTTGCAATGACACGACTTTATGATGACAATGCTATTGGTTATTCCCTCCATTAGCAACTGTCACCTCCCAGCCACTCCCTGAGCCTGGCTGCCCGCCCTCTGGAGCATTAGGCTGTGCTGCTGACTGACTTGTCTTTAAGTCCTTAAAGCTTTCAGAATCACATAAAGCCAACCCCGGGCTGTCCTGTCAATCCTGACTCATGGTGACCTTACAGAGCAGAGCAGAACTGCTCCCCAGGGTTTCCAGGGCTATACAGCTTTACAGAAGCTGACCAGCACATCATTCTCCCAAGGGGTGGCTGGGAGGTTCCAACCACTGACTTTTTGGTTAGCACTGATCCCCTGTGCCACCATGGCTCCTTTCACAATCACATAGAATTGTTTTCTGGAAAGGAAATAAGGCATTTCTAAAGAAAGCAAGAGAAAAAAAAAAAAAAAGCTTCAAGTAGCAGAGGTAAGAGAAAGAACTTCATTTATGGTGATGCTCTATACTGCCAGCCAGACTTGAAACAAGGCTTAGAGAGCTAGGAGTCCGGGATTGTAAGTCTATAGGGTTCCGTGATGCTTTCAAGAAGTCAGCAACAGGAACAAGGCTGAAGTGGTGCCACTGGTTAAGCACCCAACTGCTAACTGAATAAGGAGTCTTGTGGCGTCAACAGGTAACTGCTTGGCTGCTAAACAAAAGGCTGGCCACTCGGTGACTCTGCAGGAGAAACATGGGTAATCTGCTCTCACCAAGACTGCTACTGCTGTTTTCAAGTGCCATCGAGTCAGTTCTGACTCATAGCGACCTAGGGTCATCAAATCCTACTCTTAAAAAACTGCTCTGTTGCCTAGGATCACAATGAGTTAAAAACAACTTGATGGTACTCAACAGCATCACCACATGAACGGTTTGTGGCTGGAACTCACCCAGGCCTGGCGATGTGCTTCTAAAGGATCACAACCCTCGAAGCCTCACGGAGCACAGCTCTATTCTGCACGTGGACGGGGGTCACCATGAGGTGCAATCTACTCAACGGCAAGAGGTTTAGGTTTGGGGACTGGTGGGCCTCCCAATGACTTCACTGATGACCCTGCATTGAGACTTCCCACCATTTGAGTTGGGAGTGAGAGGTCCACCAGAGACACGACAGTGACAAGGTCTAAGTGTCATCTCAGAGGTGTTGTCTGTTGTTGTTAAGAGCCATTGAGTCGATTCCAACCCATAGCGACCCTGCATAGGGATACTGAGAAGCAGTTGGTGGGTTCGAACCACCGACCTTGTAGTTAGCAGTCCAGTGTTTTTGCTACAGCATCACACCAGGACTCCATCTCAAAGGTAGACTACTTAAAAGGGAACTCTTGAACTGCCCCTCTTCTAATATCTATTTCTCTCCCAGCTTTCACCGTCATCCAAACGCTGAGGTCCAAAACCCAGAAGCCAGTCCTGACTCGGTCCCTCAAACACAGAGTCTAGGCAGCTCTACTGTTTTGTTTACCTCAAATCCACCCATCTCGCCATCTCCACTGCTAGTATCTTCATCTAAGTCACTTACATCCAGTTGAGAAAGAGAGTGTGTGCTTAGTGAGGGTGACTATCACATTTGCCCTTACCTATCCAAAATTTTAAAAAGCAGAATCTGGGGGTTAAGTACTTGGTAACTAACTGAAAGGTCATGGGTTAAACTCCACCCAGAGGTGCTATGGAAGAATGGTGTGGCAATCTACCAGCCACTGGAAGTCCTATGGAGCGCAGGATTGTGACACACAGATCACCTCCATGAGGCAGAATCAATTCAATGGCAACTGGTTTGGCTTTTTTTTTTTTTTTTTAAATAAAAGAAAGTGAGACAAGACTAAAAAGGTAAGGAATGTAAATTACTTTGCAAGCACTGTTTAGGATTTGGGCAAAGACACTGGTCAAGAGAGAAGATTTTATGATTCTAGGAATTTATCAAGCAATACTGGTATATAAAGCAAGAGACAAATTGACACATTTTCACAATGGCAACCAAGCCAACTAGCTAAAGTGATACTAGTGTACTACATGTTCATGTCTGAGGAACTGGATGCTGATTTTGGTAAGATTTGGCGAATCTGCTAAAATCGGTCCTTCCTTGTTGTTATCCTCCATTGTCACATTCCACTGTGATTATTCTTCTGAGCTAGCTAAAGGAAGCCGCTGTTGGTCAACCTCTGTAACACCAAGGAAACAAAAATAAATTTTATTTACATATGGTAGCAAAGATTCTATTTTGAATGGGCCCCAACTGAGCTGCAGATCAAAACATCTTTCTGCTGACAAAGTGCTTCCAACAGGTAAACCGCACTCTACTAACCATGTTTGGCCTTTTGGCTCGCTGTGAAGTTCTGCCAATAGGGGGCAGTCAAGGGAGACTGAAGGATGGGATGAGGAGTGACTGGTCTTCCTTTCTGAGGGCATCACCAGCAGTGACACTCGGCTCCAACCTCCCTCTTGTAGCATATCTAGAACCATGTACATCACGCTCCCTTCACAAAAACGAGGGGGCTTCAAAAAGTTCATGGAAACATTCCATCATCTTTTCACTTCAATTCCTGGTGGACTGTTTTGAACCTCCCTCATATGTATGACCAACAGTTCTGCAGTGCCCATTTTCCAAGGTAACTCTTAGAGCCACTTCTCTGAGCTCCCAGATTCCTGAACTGAGTTCTATGGGTGCAGCTACTGCCTAACCCCAGTGTTTCCTTTTGCTTGCTCAGCCGTCTACAAATTGCTTACATTAAATCCTCTTGGTTGGAAGAGTTTCTGTTTTTCTAACCCTTTTTAAAAGGACCTAACAGTGGATCTTCTTCCCTGCCTTCCAACAGCACACCTTGAGAACGTCCCAAAAGCTGATACATTCTGAAATCTGACCTCAGAGTCTCCTGACAGCTAAAATGAGAGGCTAAGTTTTTGATTAAGGAAATTTAAAATGCTGAAATAATTGTGTCACGTCTAAAATGACTGTCTTCTACCGCTCTGAAGTATGAAGCGTATCATACAACTTTATCTTGAACTTAGAATACCTTCATGGTTGGTCATCTTTTAGGGAAAAAAAATGTCAATTCAAATAAACTTTTAATTGCATTTTAAAAACAAAGAGATGTAACGGCTAGATTACTTAAGAGTGTGGAATGCATAGTTAAGAACTTGAGTTATTGTCAGGAATGAAAAGAAAAACCAACAGACATTTAATTTCTTGGGGATTTATACTGAGTTTTACAAGTAACGATAAATCATTTGTTCCCTCAAGCAGCACTGTCATTATGTCAAAATTCTGAATGAAGGTAAAGTTTGCCACTAAACTCATGACTTTCTTAGTTCTTTTCAGGAAAGCAACACCCATTGTTTCTCACTGACAGAAGGTAACTGACATTTTCAAATCAAGGGTGCTCAGTGTGTGAACAAATAATTGAAAATAAACATAAAAACAATCAATGAATTTCAACAATGGTTTTCTGTTGTCATTTGTCCAGATTCCATCTTTAGAGTTAGCTTAAGGCAGACAGATGGAAGAGAACATGGAAGAGACCAAAAACAAAAATGGAATAGCATGCTAGAAACAACTGGAATGTCACAGGTCAAGGTCCTTACTATTATTTAAAAAAAACAACTTAGGGTGAACTGGGTGAAGGTTGACAGACATTATCATCAGCTTTATATTCAATGAATTATTCCCTTTCGGTTCACCTCAGTGATGACAACCCCTCCCTGTAACAACAGTTATTCTGCTTCCTCCCTGTGGCTCCCTGTTTACATCTTATGTTGCACACAGGAACAAAGCAAAAATATTTGATGTGCACATGCAAAACAAAATATAGATCTTGATTCAAATGTCCAAAGTCTTACCATAATCTTGTCGCTGTCAATTATGGTGTTCAGTCTGTGGGCAATGGTGAGCACCGTACACTGGGCAAATTTCTCTCGGATTTTTTTTTGTATCAACTCATCAGTTCTGAAATCACAGCCATAGAGTTCCGGTCAGTATAATAAAGATTCAAAAAGTAGACGTAAGACTGAAATCCATTTGCTGTTGTTAAGTACCATCAAGTTGGTTCCAACTCAGTGACACTGTAGGGGTTCTGAGGAGCAGCTGGTGAGTTTGAACTGCCGACCTTGTCGTTTACAGTCCAAAGTAGATCCTAAGCACCACCCACCAGGAGTCCAGATTTTAATAATGGTTTTAAAAAGGTCAGTATATTGAGATAGGATCATGTTTTTATGAAAACAAAGTGTAATAAATGACCTGTTTAGAAATTTTACCCATTTTTCATAAAACAACAGAAATAAGTTTTTTCTCCAAAAGTGCTTGAAACCATCAAATTTAGAAGTCTAACCCTCTCTTCTTGTTGTTAAGTACCTTTGAGTTGACTTTGACTCATAGTGACCCTATATATGATTTCCGAGGAGCTGTTGGTGGGTTTGAACTACCAACCTTGTAGTTCGCAGTCCAGCGCTGATCCTACAGCATCGTATCAGGAGTCCTTAGGATGACTAATAATATCACTACTACTGAACAATATGTTTTGCTTTTCTTTTGCTTTCTAGAATTAATTTTTCCCTTTGGGGAAAAACAGAACCCTTAGAAGCATTTCTAGGCATCATTAAATGTTTCCCATTCATCAGTTAAAATTCCGCTTCAATTTCACAAAGACCTCAGCTCTGTACCTTGGATCCACATTTGCTGTTGCTTCATCAATAATCAATATCCGGTTTTTCCTGAGAATGGCCCTAGCAAGGCACACCAGCTGTCTCTGTCCAACGCTAAAATTTGATCCTGATTCTGCTAATTCAGTGTCCATTTTACCAGGTAGATCTTCAATGGCTTCTTTAAGTTGTACCTATAGATGTAGAAAGAAGAATGACAGTTTAGTCACCAAACGATGACTGAGTAGAGACATGCCTCAGATACTAAAGCTCTGAGGCCTTTTCCCTTGGGAGACGTCACATGATTCTGAGCATTATTCCTAATTCAAGCTACCTGAGCTTAAGAGAACTCTGACTTAAGAGAACATGCATAACCCCCAAGAGTATGGCCTTCAGACATCTTCAGTCTCAGTGTTCAGCCACAATAAACAGGCCTATAAGGTGAAACATACCAGCGCAGTAAGTAATCCGTAGATCAACCAACTGTAGGAGAGAAAAAGGGCAGAATCTGCCCCGTGATCAAACTCAGAAGGCAAGAAGGGATAGAAAAGGACTGGTGGAAACAGTAAACATAAGGAGGAAGTGGGACGAGCACTGTTAATGTTGTGAGAATAGCAATGAATGTGAGGAAGCACAATGTGTTGGGAACTGGTGACTGGAAAACCAATTTGCTTTGTAAAGTTTCACCCAAATCACAATAAAAAGCTAAAAAGGAGAGAAACTGAGAGAAAACAACTTAATGGAAACCAAGACTATTCCAACACCATCAGAATGCACATGTCTAGTCATGTTGGAACACATGTTAACATCGCCTATGGCAATTTCATTATGAAACATACGCTACAACAAGTAAAAGTATTCTCTAGGTAAAAGCTAGAAAAGTTAACTCTTATTTTAAAAATTTTAGTCAAGAGGTAACTGCAGGAATTTATAAAGACTAAAAGCAGAACAATGGAAATGATGGCACTGGACCGGGCAGTGTTTCAGTCTGTTGTGCACACGGTATCTATGGGTTGGAACCCCGATTCCACAGCACCTAGCAACAAGAAAAGCAGAGCAATGGCAGCCTACAGCTGAGGGTTAACTGTAAATGAACAGGAGCGAGCTTTGGGGAATGATGGAAATGCTCGCAAACTGGATGGTGGTGAGGGTTGTACAATTCTACAGATTTACTAAGGTAAATACTCACAGTAGATACATTTTCTAGCATGAAACCTGTACCTCAATATGGTGGCTGGTGGCTGTGTGCCGTGGAGTCGGTTCTGACTCATAGCGACCCTGTACAGGGTTTCTGAGGCTGTATATCTTTATGGGAGCAGAACGCCTCATCTTTCTCCCACAGAACAGCTGGTAGTTTCGAACTGCTGACCTTGCAATTTGCAACCCGATTTGTTAACGACTACGCTAACTCAATATAGGTGGCAGTAAAAAATTCAGTGCTCCCAATCATCTAAACCCTTTTCCTGTCACATGGCACCCACCAAGACACACTGACCTACACCAGGGGAGTTAAGTCCTTCAGTTAGAAAGATATTTCTTCCAATCTCTGTAGAAAAGTTAAAAAAAATCTTGATGGTTGAGACAAGTGTCCCAAAGTACCTACTTCATAGGAGCTACTACACTGTATGGAATATTAAAAAATAAAATTATTAGAGGAAGTATGATATTCTGAAGATTAATTCTGTCAGCACTTTGCCATATTGGTAGTTTATAATCAACTGGAAAAGTTGAACACAAATTCAAATAACGAGAAGCTGCATCTCATATATTAATAAACTAACAGAGCATTTTTCCATTAAAAGTCATTATCAAAGAAATATGTCACTTAAAAAAATTATTTGGCTCCATGATTTCATATTACACGTTACAATGTGGAAAACACTTTTTTTTAAATGTACAACTTAAGTAAAACTGATGAAATAAAACTATTTGAAACGATACATTTTAAGAGTATTTCAGATTACTTTTAAGCTTAGAAGAAATAGTAAGTTACATCAAAACAAAATAATAAACTGAACTGATGAGACACCGCATCGTAAACATTGTCAGAATAATCCACTATGGCGACTGTGTCTGCTAGGGGCCAGCCACTCACAGGGGATGAATATGCATGTCACATTCTGCTTCCACAATTTGTGGAAAGTTGTGACATTTGGTAAAGAAAGGCTGCCATGATCTGGGGAAAAAAATAAAAATAAAACCCACATACGAGAGACACTGATCAACAAATCACCAGATGGGGAAGAGCTTTCATTTGAACAAAGCTAAGGTAAAAGCGAAAGGGGAGCCGAAAGTGCCATGGGCTACCAGAAGAACCAACAGATCAGTGTTGGAAGAAGTGCAGCCAGAGTGCTCCTTGGAGGCCAGGATGGCCACACTTCATCTCTCGTACTTCG